TACTGGTCGCAGTGGAGAAGGAAGAGATGTGGTTGTGCTATTGGTTGGGTTGATGGAGGTGGTGTCAGTCGAGTGGGAATTGCAAATGGCGGTTTAGGTTAAGGTTTTTGCCTGTATGTGTGTGAGGCGCCCAGAATGTAAGAGGGGGAGAGAGAGAGAAAGAAACAAGAGGGGGAGATGGAGTCGTTTTAGAGGCCAGATGGTGGCGATGGATACCAATAGTTAAAGATGAATTTCAGCGGTGGAGTCTTGCCAAGAGAGAGAAAGAGGGGGAGGAAAGGGGGAGATTGAGCCGTTTAGAGGGTCGATAGTGGCGATAGATACCAGCGGTTGAAGATGGATTCCAGTAGTGAAATCTTAGAGATAGAGAGAGAGATGGGGCGATCACCGTTATTGCTAGTGGCTGTGTTTTCTAAGGTTAATAGTGCGACGATAATGTGTTTTTTGTGAGATTAATTTGTTTTCTCATTTATGCCTAATGTTTTGAAATTGCAATGACAAAAAATGTCCATCATTACTCTAATGTGACAATCCCATGATATTTTTCATTACTTCTTTGGATGTATGTGTAGTGCAAAAAATCACATTAGCTGAATGTATGAACATTGATGACTAAATTAAAAAAATTAAAATTTTAAAGATTAAAGTATTATTAACGTTAAACCTCACAGACTATTCATGCAATTTACCCATCTAACAAACCTATGTAATAAATAATTTTATCTATTTTAGAGAGGTTGACTCTCAAACTAGAACCCGTAATATACCGAGACATGTTTCCGTGTTGTATGCATCAAGTGGCAGAGTGAGGTGATATACATTACCGTAAATTATTGTACATCCAAATGAATTGCTGCTTCACAGGTGGTGTACGTCACACGGTCACAGCTGCTCTGCCACATGGTGTATTATACAAGTAAACAAAAAATAATTTATTTACCCAAAAAAAAAAAATTTAAGGGAAAATTTTAATTCAATTTCTTCTAATTTATTATATTTTTAAGGACATTCTTTATATTATTAAAAATATCATCGACACTTTTTTTAATTTATATTTAAATATCACCGACACTCCTTGCCATTAAATTATCATTTTTAACAAAATTTTTTATCCAGAATGCCCACGCATAAACCTTAAACAATCTTTCTACAAAAAATTCGATTAAAATTCTAGTCGATTAAAATTCATTTTTCTACATATTAAAATTCGAGTTGATTAAAATTCATTTTTTTACATATTAAAATTTGAGCTTATTAAATTTCGAATCGAGTTGATTAAATTTTATTTTTTTACATATTAAAATTTGAGCATATTAAAATTCTTTTTTTATATATTAAAATTCGAGCCGATTTAAGCTCCACTTGAACTGTTAGCGTTGATTAAAATTCATTTCGAGTCAATTAAAATTTATATATTTTTACTTATTAAAATTCATGCCAATTAAAATTCGATTCTTTAAAATTTGAGTTGATTAAATTTTTATTTTTTATGTATCAAAATTCAGACCGATTAAAATTGAATGCAAATTTATTAAAATTTAATTTTTTAATTTGCTTAGATTTTAAGGGGTAAAAAATATAATTTTTAATTAACTCAAATTTTAATACGTAAAACATAAATTTTAATCAATTCAAATAAAATTTTAATCAGCACAAACTTTAATACTTAAAAAAATTAAAAAAAGAAAAGAGGGGCTCTCGTTAAAGATATGCTTATTATTTAGAGGGAGTGTGGATACAAATTTTCATCTAATATATCATGGGTAATTTGATAAAATTGCATTCTAATGGAAGGGGTGGGATTGAAATTTTTCCAAATTTTAATTTGCACTATATTTATGTTGAGAAAATCAGCATAATTCTATAAATATTAATTATAAAAACATAATATAACCAGAATACAAACAAGTATATGATGCAATAGTATGCGATTAGAACAACATAAAATAAAAATTAATAAATTTAAAAGAGTTGACATGTGATATTTGATAGACGTGTGATTATTATTTGAAAATAGTTGTGTCTCCTAATGTAAAAGTACTAATGAACATGAATGACTCTAAGATTCAACCCAGATGCATTTATAATAGCGTCCTTTTAAGGGCCACGTTCATAAAAAAAATAGACATAAATTTGACTCGAATCAAAATTACTTCAAAAAATACAAACATAAAAAAGGACTTATCTATGAAGCTGAAAAGAAGAAATGAAGCTAAAGTTGCAAAATGGAAAGAAAAGAAGCTAGATTTCTCCACACTTGGTTAACAAAAAGGTTTATAACAGCCCATTAAATCTAAAATTAAATGTGATCCATTAAAACGAAAACATTAAGCTGCAGGTAAAGTGCAGTGGCATCACCATCAATAAAAAGAGTTAATACAACTTGTTTTCCACCTTTTCCACTTAAGCAATGGGGACCATTTCCACTTAGGAGTAATTATTGATGATTCCCGGAAGTAAAGCAGCACCCCAGCAATGGAGGACACATGCTTACCATCATTACTTGTTTATGGCCGAGCTAGTTTGAGCTCTCATAGAAATGTTTCTTATACTAATTAATCATCTAGTGTCAAAATTACTACCATTTTCTCTATAATACATTGGGTGGACAAGAAGATTCTGATGTGGGTTAATCAGATCATCACAGATGACACTTTACATTTGAGATGAAATTGTCATTCTCAAGAGTTATAATCCCAGAGGAGTAGATAATTGGAGGAGTTAGTCTAACTGGGGCTATAAGCAATTTAGGGCGTGGATTTAATTTACAACTAGGTTGAGTTTTTCCCGTGTTGATGTTCCCTCTAGTTCGTTCCTGTGTGGGGCTATAGAAACCTCTCATGTGGGCTTACGGAAACATCCAAGCAATCACATTTGCAAATCCAAGTGCGTGAAGTTAGGATAACACCGAGCAAGAGGACAACAAAGAGGGTTTTTTCGAGGCATGACCTTTATTGTCAATAACTTTTCATTTTTGTAGAATTTTCAGCTTATCACCTTCACCTCACTCTTTGTTTCTTTTCCCTCATTTTTCTTCATTTTCCTTTTTTTTTTCTCTTTCTTTTTCTTCTTCCACCCCTTTTTCTCTTTTTCTTGGATTTTGTCGGTCTTTTCCATTCAACATTTCGAATTCAGCAATCATTTATCCTTCTTTAGGTTTCCTCTCCACATTTTCTTCCCTTTTATGGTCAATCACAATCAATTCTCGAAACAATGAAAGTGTGGTAAATTTTATCATTTTGCATTGGTCTGGTCAATTGTGTGGAATGGAAACAAATTTTCAATTAATGCTCAATCACGGCATTGGGGATAAATTTTTTCACAAGAAAATGGCTAAGGCTCAACGCAATTCAAATATTGCCTAAGATCCTCTCTAAATAAGCATGAAAGACATATTGACATTTTAAGATAAAGTCAATCAATTATCCACACATGCACTCTTACCAAAGTAAGCATAATGAGATTATTGTGCTCATATATTCGAAATTCAAAATGAAGATCAGCAATCACAAATCCCATAACAATTAAGATAGGGGAATGTAATTCAATATTAGATATTTTTCACAAAAAATGTTCAAAATTTTCACATTTTCAATTATTCTATACAAAAAATTGTGGAACAAGTAAATGGTGCACCTCACTCTCAAACTTGAACCATGCATTCACAATGTGTACACAAAGTAAGAGTAAGACTACTAAATATAAAAGATATTCTACGTTATAGATCGTAATACTCTTATTATCAACTTTCAATCATCTTTTACTGTAACACTGTACCTACCCAATGAGAAAGAATGAACAAATTTCAAATTCATATTTTCAAATTGAGCCAATTACTCAACAAACACATGTACTAAGAGCTAGGCTTCAGTTTGGTTGAGGTCTCTTGAAATCCCAGCCAACTCGAGATCAATGTTGCGTGGGTCACTTTGATATGTGGTATGGGCACAGGTACATGATACGACACTTTTTTAGGTACGATAAGAGTATGTTTAATTGAGATGGTATTTTGGGTCTTAATTCGTATATATAATACTATATATATATATATATCATTTTCACTACTATACAATATTATATATTACAGAACATTCAGAAAACACAAAGTTAGTTATCATTTGTCTTATAGTTGTTTTTATTATCTAAGACAATAAATAATTATAAATTTATATACATGTAGTCAATTAATATGTATTTTATATTTGTTCTACATGTTCTAAAGCGAATTAATTTAGGATTAATATTACAATTTGGGACCGTCCATTTTGAAGATTTGGACCGGGGACCCACCTCATTTAGGTGGATCGTTAAGGATTTAGTGAATTGTGATAACTCAGTTCAAGATTATATATTACATAATTGTATACACCTGATATACATACATATATATTAACATGACACACACAAAAATAATTGTATCAACTCGTTTCCTCGTTCCACACTGAAACACGACCTAGTCCACAGTGAAAAATGGATCCAAATTTCATATTACATTTTTACTAAATTTCACTGGTAAATTATTGATCAAGAATGTAAATACGACCAACTACATATAAATGGATTCCACCAATATATGAGGAGGATCTCCTATTAATAAAATTATAATGAAAATATAATCTCAAAAATAAAAAAATAATTTTAAGCAGATTGTAAAGGATTACTGGACACAAAAGGATTTCCAACAAGCTGAGACACATTTGAATGGCATCATTCTCCAAAAGAACACAATGTTTTCACCATAAGAAAACAAAACATTTTTGGATAAATACGAAGAAGATTGAAACCAGGCATCTCGATCGGGTATAAATTTAATTGTGTACACATTTAACAAAGAATAAAGCTATTAGAACTTACAAAACTGACCTTACTTGTTGATATAACGATGTGTTAAGTGATGAAGTCCTAATAAAGATATCTAGGAGTTATAGTCACAATAATACTATTGGATCACATCATTGTCATATCATTAGTTTAACAAATTAGGTCCCAATAGCATTACAAGGATGACTTCATTTAGAGTCGGAAAGAAAGTGGGAAAAAACAACCATCTGCTTTTTGCTATCACCATTGTAGTATTCTTCCCCTGTTCCTGCTGCTATCGCAGTCCCGTCTCCCTTGTTTGGATTTTATTATTTCATCTGCAAAACGAGACAAATTCCTTACAACACGAATATAAAGACACAACACTTATCAAAAATAGGAAACAAATACGTTGGGATACACAACAAACAATTGTATCGTATATCATCACACTGCACAAGTGATCACTTTATAAACATTAAAATACCATTATAAAACATAAGAATATCAAGTCAATATTATGTCTAATCCTCTAATAGATCATAATAGTCACTAGTAATCAACAATCATCAAAATTTTCCAGACAATATACACAAATAAATAATATAATAATTGCTCTCATCAACTTATATGCATCTTGTATTTTATTAGTAAATTTAAAATAAATGGTCTTACCAATATTATATTGTATCATACAATCAAAACAATTATTTTTCAAATTTTTTATTTTGCCAAAGAGATACAGCGCATGTTTATTATTTACACAGAGACAGTTTAAATAAGTGTTAACACACGTCCCAAACAAGTGTTTGACATGTGATCAAACACACTTAAAAGTGTATTGGAGACTCTACCAAAAGTGTCGGACACAGAAACGTGACTAGCATTGTCCGTGCATCGTCACCACATTTCCCAATCAGTCAATGCACGCATGCAGTCGACATAGCACACACAATCACCCAACAAACACCACCACCCATGCACAAGCAGAGACACCCACACACCATCATCCTTTTTCTACCTCCGCATTCTCATACACACTATCTCTTACAGCCACACTCTCTCGAAGACAAGATATTACATGGGGGATGTGAATGAAATTTCCTCATCTCTTTTATTTGTCCCAGCAAATGTAGACTCAGTTAACAAGATACATACCTCTAGTTTCTGCATCCCAACCCAAGATGGGTGTTGGTAGAAAAACATCATCCCATGAGAGTGCTTCATTGCTGAGGAAGTACACACCAGTCTTCACCTGATATACTGAGTAATGTCCACGAGCGACATCTTGATTAGAAGGATACATGCTGCCCGGAATACCCTTCTTTCCTTCTTGCTCATACCCAAGATTGATTCCAAACTCCTTTAACTCGAACACACCCCTTATAATCACTGACACTGTAACTTCATCGCCATCTTCCAAACCCAATAGATTCGCCACCTTCCAATGGCTTAACCACATCATGTCTTCATTTTCTTCTGGGCGGCCAAAGCAAGTCGGGTTATATTTCCAACAGAGGTTCTTGCTCTTATTACTGAGTGTAATAGATAATAGTGGATGAAGACATGACTGGTTTTCACTATAGCCCGAAAGTACATAAATAGAGCAGATGTTCAAGTTTAGCCTTTTTACATAAAAAACTGAAGGCACTGTAAAATATGTTGAGGACTCTCTACTCTTAATGCTGAAACAGTCTGGAATCTCTTTTACAGGAACAAATATGTTTATCTCAACGTCTGCCAGGTCTTTGAAGTTAATGAAGCTCCAGTGGTCAATCATTTCCACATCAGAAATTCCCATGGGTTCTAACTTGATCATGCCCTCAACATAAACTAGTTTGGCACAACCAGTATGTTCGATTTGTTGTTGTCTGAACAGAGGTGACAGAAATGTAATTTTTTCCAAAAATGTGCAATGCCCAACAAACAATTTTTCCAATCTTGGTAGCTGTAGGAGTGACTTGAGCCTTGTACACGAATTGAGGCGGAGGGCTTGAAGGCTTGAAAGGTCTCTGATACAATCTGGTAGGCTACAAATTGGGTTCTTGCTGAGATTTAAGCTTCGCAACAAGGATAGTTGACTAAAATCCTTGGGAAAAGCATCATTGGATAAATTGCAGTCCACAAGACTTAAGCTTACTAAATATTGTGGAAAAGAAGACCATGTAATTTCTCGAATTTTCCTTGGTCTTGACATCCAGGAACAGTTGTAATGACTTGAGATTTTCAGGAAGTGTAGATGGTAATTGATTTGTAGCAATCCCACCAGCATTAAGAACTTTCAAAGATTCCAACCTGCTCAATTCCACAGGCAGTTCATGAAGATTTGAGCAACCAGATATGTTGAGTGTTTCAAGAGATTTTAGCATACCAATGTTTCTCGGTAGCTTCCTAAGAATTTTGCAATCTCTTAGATTTAAGAGGATAAGTCGATCTAGGTGTCCAATGGATTCATGAACCTCAACCAAACTTAAACAGCCTTTAAGAATCAATCTCTCCAGATTAGGGCTTACAGAGAAGTCAGGAGTTTTGGCAAGGCTGTGGGAATGACTGAAATTAAGGATTTTCAGTGATCCTAGAAACTGCGACAAGAAAAGACGTTAATTCTAGAAGACATATAATCAATTATAATATTAATAACCGTAATAGAACAAGTAGAAGAACAAAAAGATGATGATAATGATGGCTATGATGAGAATAGAACATATGAGTACTGTACCTTGGTTCCCTTCCAAACTTGTTTTAGATTGCTACAACGCATGTCAAGAGCAACCAAGCTCTCCAGAGGAAAATCACTCGGTATATATCTCATAGGGAATCCACGCCAACACAACCATCTTAAATTTTTGGGAAAATATAGATAGCGTCCCGTGCACTGTACATAACTAAGGAGGAGTATTCTTAATTGGTGCATACTGGCAAAAGTATTGGTCTCCAAGCTAACAACACTTGAATTTCTCAATTTAATATCTACTGCTTGCTGGGAGAAAGGGCCAAAATTGCATCGCTTCAGTGAAATGCCGTTGTCTGACAATGGTGTTTTGCCAATACATTCGTTAAGGTAGCCCTTTTTCGGATCGCTGACACTTGAAATGTTCTTAAAAGATTTTTCTTCCTCCAAAATATGCATGTTGAGGACAAGACCCTCAATTGTTTCTCTGCCCTAATAATTGAAAAGAAAAGATAATAAGAAATAAGGTACATGCGTACACAAAAACAAATAATCAATTGCCATCTTATCGTCTTTCTCCTATTTTATTCCATTTATACCGTAGTTTCTGACCTATTTCCCAATGCATAATTTTACTGCTCTCAAGGGTTTCAACTCACACTTTCAATTAAAAGAGGTTTGCAAAAGATGCCCTCAAGAATTTCTACTGTATGCATGCTTGAAAGTACGTTTTCCATTGAAAAGAATGAGTTCAATCATGCTTTCATATTAACAAAAGTAAATTGGAAAATAATAAGAAATTACAGCCGAGAGAGGGAATAAAACAGAAGAAAAAAGTAAAATGGTCAAAAACTCCAAAAAAAATTCATGCAGAGACGCATTCTTGTCAAAAAGAAAAGAAAGCCAAGAAGATGCTACTTACACTTTTTTCTTTCAAGACATACAAGGAATCCTTGTGGTGCCACAGTCTACCGCGTCTTCCAGGCTCCTTGGGTGATTCTTGGCGAATAATTTCTCTTCCCATGTCTTGAAGCAATTGATGCATCATTAATTTATTATCTTCTTTGATTGTTAAGAGACATCTATCAATGAGATTTTGAATCCCAATTGCAGTGTAGAAACCACATTCATCTAATACACTGAACGAAAAATCTGTCTTTCCCAATAAAGAAACAAGCAATATGCAGGAATAAATTCTTATCGTGGTCATCTTGCAAAGTGTCAAGGCTTATCTTGAGTTTGTTCAATATTTGAGAATCAAAAATTGCTTCCAATTTATCTAATGCACTTTCCCATACATCTAATCCTTTTCCAGATAAAGAAGAACCTAAAACTTGAAGAGCTAATGGCATCCCTCCACAACGGTTATTACCCTTTTTGAGTGCTCTATGTAACCTTCAGTGGGATGGTCTTGTCCGAAGGCATGCCAACTAAAGAGCTCAAAAGATTCCCTTCCATTCAATTCTTCAACCTCATGAACTTCACAAACTTCAAGAGTATTCAGCAACTGCTTCTGCCTAGTTGTTATTATGATTTTACTTCCTGGACGAAACCATTCTCTCATTCCAAATACTGCATTTAATTGGTCAACTCAGTCCACATCATCGAGAACAAGAAGAATTCTTTTGCAGCTTATGGCATCTTTAATCTTGGTGGCTCCTTCATCGACATTGCTGATTTTTTCCACTTTCGTCTTTAAAATATTCCGAAGAAGCTGTCTTTGCAACGAACTAGACCATTTGCTTGTTCTGAAATTTCTCTGATACTTGTAAGAAAGCTACTAGCTTCAAATCTTTTAAAGTTCAAATTATATACATATTTGGCAATGGTTGTCTTCCCTATTCCTCCGATTCCACAAATTGAGAGTATGCCAACATCGTTTGATCCATCTTGTAACCACAAATTGATGTATTTTACTCGAGAATGCATCACAACTAGGTAGGGACTAATGCTCAACGCAACGGGATTCAGCTTATCCACAACAACTTGGATGATTTTCTGGATAAACTTTGACTCATGCCTACAAATAATGGCCAAAATGAATAAGAAACAATACACAAATACCATCACTTGAAATTAAATTAAGTCTTCCTTACAAACAATAAAAGGAAAGTGATTTATCATCTTTTAAGTAGTGCGATTATTGTCAACTTAGATTATTAAGCTAGTTTGAGAATACATTGGAGGACAAACAAGGTTCTAAAATCAAAAAAGAAAGAGAAACAAACCCCATAGTCAACTACCATCTAATTCGAACAGATGATACAACAATAAAGGGCATTATTTTTCCCAGTTATAATTATATTGAAACTAGTTCAAAGTTTCAAACATGCACTTAAACAATGGTTGTGGGAAGAGGTGCCCTTCAGATACATTCTTTTTGAATTGTAGTACACATAATTTTTTTTTTTAAAATCTATGTCATTTGAGAACCTTCATGTTTAGATTATAAGCTAATTACCAGAAAAAACTTATACAAGCTCTAGTAACTTATCTTCAAAGATGTACTTAAACTTCTATTTGTTTTACCAATTAATCTTTTAAAAGGTTACAATCTACAATTATTGCCTTCTAGTACTTAAAAAATTCTCTTATTTTATTTATTCCTATTTCTAATTGTAGTTAGATTTTAGATCTAGTATGTGAAAATCTTTTCATAATCAATATGATGACAAGATTCGAATACATGACCTCTTGCTTTGATACCATGTTAACCAACCATTTACTCTAAAAGCTTAAACAATTAAAGAGGGTGTAACTTAAGCATTTATATTTCAACACTTCTCATTCTGTTTTACTACCTTGAATCCAGAAGATGCTAACAATTTGAAATTTATTACGAACTTGTATCTCTAACATGGATCTCACACTGATTACTTGGCTAACATTCAGATGTTCAAATCCCATCTATTTTTACTCAAAAATTTGATGAATTGGACCTCACTGTCCGTTGCTGGTCTCTGCATGACTCACAATTGAGACTTGGTGTGCTATCGAATAGTTGATTGACACAAGCTCTGGACCAAATAAATTATGCAAAAACACTTTCTAAAAGCATAACCAACTCATGTGTAAGAATAGACTTGAGGAACTTACCCATCAGCTTGATTTTTCAAAACCATCCCTCCCAAATCTGCAACTTCTTTAAGTGCATCTCTCCACTGTTTTACCTTGTCCAACCATTCAGTTTTTCTTTGACCGGTTTCTGCCTTGAGTTGCTTTTCATACCCTGCTAATGCGTTGGCAATAAATTCAGTTTGCTTCCTAACTTGCGTTGGATCCACATCATAGAAGATAGGTAGAACTACATGGCTGGAGGTTCTCTTGCATTCAAGGATCATCAGAAGTTCATTGAGGCACCATGTGGAACAAGGGTAGCCCTTCGATAAGACAATTATTGAACTCCTAGACTGTTGGATTGCTTTCTTCAATTCCAGCTTTATGTTTTCTCCTCTCTCTATCCCATAATCATCCTTGAATGTGCGAAATCCAGCATTGACCAGAGCTGTATAGAGATGGTCAGTAAACGTCTTGCGGGTGTCTTTCCCTCTAAAACTCAAGAACACTTGATAAGAATATCGAGTGTTGGCAGATGAGGCTTCTCGGGTTTGCACAAAATCCATTTAACAAAGCTCCAAGAGGCAAGACCCAGAAAGTGCTTGCAATGTTTCAAGTTTTAAGGTGCTATAAATACAGGCATTGGTATGAAATGTGAATGTACACAGTTCTATATGTAATATGGATTAATAAAATAAAAGTCAATGAAACCTATTAAAAAAACACAAAATTGGGTGATCATGCAAAACATGCTTCCATGTGTCTTAAACAAATACACCAAACATAGTTGTGACTGGATGACAAATTTTATTGTTGCACGAAGGACATTTTGCACCCTACCCAATTTAAAAATCTCACTGTGCCCCATTTGTAAAAAAACTATATCGCGCCCTCAATTTTTGGAAATTGTTCTATTTGCACATTCTGGTCTCCTGCCATTAAGGATTTTGACAGAAAAATGCCATGTGACATATAATATGATTATTTTTTGGGAGTCTATATGTAAATTCCAATATTAACCACACTGAATGTGCCTATTCTGGTTACAGATAATTCTAACCCAGATTAATATCTCTATTATCATTAAAAACAATCCTAACCCACCTTGATAAACTCTTTCTGATTAAAATAATACTATCCAATCAAGCTCTCTATCCATTACAGTCAAAGGAAATGAAAAAGACTGACCTTAATGATAGGAATTTGTCCACCAATAAGGGCAGCATACACCAGATATTCAAAATGACTGTGACACCGTAAGTATCATCATCACGTAATAACACTGTCTAATAAATGGATACTACACAGTTTAATAACCACTTCCACCGTATAACATAAAAACTCCCGAGTATCTCATTTTTATACACCGTCCATTTATCCATTTGATGATTTCTTATTAGAAGTAACACCACGTCACCACCAGCACGTAGTGTCTGTCGAGGAAACCCTACCCTGGATGATGTCGGCATCGAACTCCTTGATAGTCTCCACACAATCAATCCTTTCAACGGAAAGCATTTCCAGGTGTAGCCTTCCGTAACTCCTCAAGAGAACCAGCCAACCAACGTCACCGAAAAACACAACCGGAATGGCAGATTCAACGGTATTGAGCACCGAATCAAGGCCTGCCTTATTTGGGTATTTTGCGAGTTGGAAGGCGTGTTTGGGTCCCCACTATCAAGACCCCTTTTTTGGGAATTTGAGAGATAGATTTGCAAATTTAACTGTGTAATGTTGTGATGATGATGAAGGCGTCCATGGCCGTGGGTGTTTCTTCAATGGCGGTTCT